TCATTTCTTAGCTCTCCTGCCACCCCTGCCCCCTCCCCCGTCCCCTCCCCCATCCTCTGTGACTATGCAGACTCCGCCCTCCTTTCTCATCCGCTCGCCTACCTGACTTTCCGGCACCTTCTGTCTCTCTATCTGCATGGTGGCCGCCTCCCGCTCTCTGTGCCCCACCCCCACGGAGGTTTCTGCCTGTGACTGTCGTTCTCTGTCCAGTTTAAGCCCCACCCCTCTCCTCCGTCAGCTCCAGCAGAGGGCCACGCTCCCGGCCAGGCTCAGAGTCCCACGCTGTGCCCGTAGGGGAGACCGTGGCCGAGCAGCCTCCATCCCACTCACTCACACCAGCACCTGCCACCCTAGCCGTCACCACCGTCAGACAGAGGTGGGCCGCCTCTGCCTGGGCCTGAGCCCGCAGCCGCCCTCCCGCGTTGGGGCGCTCACTGGGATTCCTGGGGCGCATTTCCCTAACCGTCCTCCTAGCTACCAGGGCGAGGCACGAAGGACGTGTAAAACATACATGACTTCACAAACATCCAAAAAGTAATTCGCTAGCACAGCTGCTGAATCGGGGAAGTCACGGGTACTCATGAGGCCGGCTTCGTCTTTTAGTAGGAGCCGGATAAAGTACTGGTGAGTCGAACTGGCAACAGAATCTTTCATATTTTAGTGAATCATTTGAATCATGAAAGTTGTATAAAACTTATTACAAAAATTATCACCCCACGAGTGCATAATTGTATAACCCTACACTTCATACACTGTGGTTACATTGTCATCACGCGGTAGGATACTGTGGGTATCACACTTTTTTATCTGATGTTTTCCCGTTAGCGGTTTTGGTCTTTATTGTTTAGACATTAAATTCCACGAGCTCATTTCTTCCGTTTGGGAAGCGGAAGAAGAGGACACGTGCCTCCCATCCCTCCGGACTGTTTCATTCGAATTTCATGTCATGTGATATGATAGGAAACTAAACTTGCCTTTTATGTCGCAGTAACCGCTTTCATCGATCTTGGCGTTGGGAGACATTTTGATTTTCCTTTTCTTTGTCCTCCCGGGGCATAGACATGTGGAAGGATAAAGACGAATCGTGGAATTTCCTCCAGGACTATGACCCGGAACTGATCAAAGAGGAAAAGCGGAAGGAACTGGAGTCGGAGATCAGGTTACAGGTAGGGCCGGCTTCTCGGGCGCTGGTGACGAGCCCCTCGCTGCAGCGACGGCCCGTTGTCGCAATTTCCTCTTTATTCCCCACCCAGACTCTAAGCTATTTTTAAACGTCACAAAGAAAAAACGCAGGGAATGCAAAGTCGCTGAAGAGAGGGATGTTTTCTATTCACCTAGGTCGATGAGTTGATGAGACAAGAACTAAAAAACTTAAAACTAGCCGTGAACAGAGAAAAGGAACTTCTGGCCAAGACAGGAAAGAAGAAAGGAGGTAAAAAAGTGAGTAGCGCATGAGCGCGGGGAGGGAGGAGGCCCAGGGCGGATTCTGACGCGAAGAGTGACCGCGCCACACCTGCGGGGCGCGGCAGGAGCGCCGCCTGGCCCGCCACTGGTCCCAGGGCTGCTTCCCGAGGACACGGGCCTGCCTTTCCTGAATCTACCTCTTGTCGCCATGAGCCCTCGGGGCTGTGGGCTCGGGAGTGGTATGAATTCAACGGCCTGAGAGTTACCTCCCCGGGCCGTCCTCACTGCAGAGTCCTGTCACCCAAACTCCTCCCACGGGATGGGGATGATGAGGGGAGCCAGCGCATGTGCTCCCAGTGCCCACCCGTCTCCCCTATAGGCAGGCCTGTCGGGGGGCAACGACAATAAGCAAGTTCTTTGGGGGCGGGAGGAGAAGGTCGGAAGAATTGAATTTTAAATTGCCACCCATCCATCTCACAGCGGTTTAGAGTAGCCAGTTGGATCCCAGTATTCAAAGTTCACTTACTAGGGCCCGCGGGATAATGCGAAAAATATATATGGGTCTCTGCCCCCAGTTCCTGGCTCAAAGCCCCTGTCAATTTCTAAGGGGTAAGAGCAGATGGAGTGTTTACTGCTCTGATGAGCTGACTCTGGGGGGACTCCGAGGCCCAGGAGGGGCAGTGGTCGTCAGGAAGACCAAGCCATAATTAGAAGCCTAGAGGTTTCAGTCTCACCCCAATTCTCGAGAGAAGGGAGACAGGCCGGAAATGGAGTATATAGTTGACCGTGCCTGTGCGAGGAAGCCCCCATAAAAAACCCCAGCAGTGGGTGGGGTTCAGAGAGCTTCCGGGATGGTTGGTGAACACATCCACATACCAAGAGGACGGCACACCCCGACTTCACAGGCACAGGGCCCCTGCACTCGCGACCCTCCCAGACCTCACCCCGTGCCCCTCTCCGTCAGATTCTTTGCCTATATCCTCTATAACATCCTTGAATAAACCGGTAAATGTAAGTAAGTGTTTCCCGGAGTTTTGTGAACCATTCTAACAAATTAATGGAACCCGAGCAGGTGTCGTGGGAACCTCAGATTTATGGTCCGAAGCACCAACCACGATGTCACAGTTTGGTGTCAGTAACGATTCACAGCATCCAGCCACCAACTTCGCCGCTTCCATACTCACCAAGCAACCTTCTGATGACTTATTGTAGTTGCACGCTGGTTTTTCTGTAAGAGGAAATTCTACAGCGTCCGTTTTTCTTGACTATTATATTTCTCATTATAAGTTAATCGATTTGCATTACATTAATCAGCTGACATCCCCATGATGACAGCACTGCTCCTGCCTCTCAGAGGCCATCTCTCTCTTGAGATGATGTGATCATCCTCCCTTGTAATCACAAAAACTTTTAGGATATCAGAGCTCCTGGAGAAAACGTGAAGCTCCTCGAGGGTAAGACTCTTGACCGACTCTACTCTTTGCATTCCCCAGAGTGCTAGCATGTATAAATGCGGGGGAAATGCCATATTTAAACGGACATTTAGAATCTGATTTTGCAAGAAACACACGAGCATTCTACCGAAAAACACAGTATCGGAAATGAGGACTCTCTAACTGGTAAACAAGAGCGTGGACAGAGGAAAAGACAGGTCGAACTCAAAGACGGGGCACTAAGAACTCCAAACGGAAGCAAAGAAAGAGCAGAGACTGTAAGGAGCAGAACGGAATAACGACTCATTGCTTCCGACTGGCAGCGAGGCCCTCCCACCCCCAATGCCAGTGGAGACCACATGCAGAATCCATCTGGATGCCCCCCCACCCCCCAACCCTTACTCCCCAACAACAGGTCAAGAGGAAGAGTCTCAGGTCAATAATCTAAGCTCCCACCTCGAGGACCTAGAAGAACAAAGAAAACAAAGTGACCAGAAAGAAGGAACTGATAAAAATAAAGCAAAAATCAGTCAGACTGAAAATCAAAGACAATGGAGAAAATAAATGAAACCGAGCTGGCTCTTTGAAGATAATCAAAATCTATAAACCGCTAGTAAGACTGACAAAAAAGAGAGAGAAGACACGAATGATCAATATCAGGAAGGAAACAGAAGATCGCAACTAAAACAAACACCAAAAGAACAATGAGAGGACCACCAACAACTCCGCTCATATAATCTGACAATTTACACAAAATGGGCCCACTTCCTTCAAAAACATAAACCACCACAACTCACCTAATATGAAATAGAAGATTTGACTAGCCCTAGAGCTATTAAGGAAACTGAATTTGTCATTAAAACAACTCCCAAACAGAATTTTCAGGCCCAGTTGGTTTAACTGGAGAATTCTACCAAATGTTTAATTTGCAGGTGACATGATCGTCTATTTAGAAAATTTCAAGGAATCTGTAAAGAAACTCCTAGAAATAATAACTGCATTCGGCAAGGTTATAGAATGCAAAGCGAACATACAAAAATCAATTGTTTTTCTATATACTAGGAATGAACAGATGGGCTCCAAAACTTAAAATATGAAGCCATTTAAAATTATTCAAAAATGAAATACTTAGGTATAAATCTAATAAAATACATGTGGGATTTGGATGCTATAACTACACAGTACTGATGACAGAAATAAAAGAACATCTAAATACACAGACATACGATGTTCATGGATTGGAAGACAAAATGCAGTAAAAATGCCAATTATCTCCGCACCGATATACAAGTTTAACCCAATTCTTACCAAAATCCCAGAAAGATAGTTGGTAACCGTAGACGAGATTACAGTAAAATTTAAATAGAAAAACGATGGAACTAGAAAAACTACACTAATTTTTAAAAAGAGGAATAAAGTGAGAAAGATCCGTCTACCTGATTTCAAAGCACATTATATAGCTGCAGTAATCAAGACTGCACTGTTGGTCGAGAGGCAGACACCTGGATCAATGGAACAGAACACAGAGCCCAGAAACAGGCCCACATGGATTTGCCAGAGGATGGAAGAAACTGGATCAAGTATTTACATGTCACTGGTGGAGACATATAGTGACATAACCACTTTGCAAAACTCCTGGCATTTCTCAAAAAACAAACATTCGGTTACCATACAACCCAGAAATGCACTCATGGGCATTTATTCCAAAGAATTAAAGAATTAAAGATTTACACACACATACAAGTTTATAGCACTTTAGTCAATTCGTAATAGCCGAAAACTGTAAACAGCAATCAAAAGGAATGAATGATGGATACATAAAACATCCCGGACGAATATCCTGAGATTTATGATGTGTGGAGAGAAAAACGGTTACATACTGTCTGATTCCGTTGATACGACATTCTTAAAAGGACAAAGTTAGAGAAACGGAGACCGGATTAGTGGCTTCCGGGGGTTCGAGGTGGGGGGTGGTGGCAGGGAAGCCAGTGTGACTGCAAAAGGGCCCGAGGGACCCCCTCGGTGGCCCACACGCCCTGCATTGCCAGCGGCCATGCCGACATCCCGGCGGCGATCTATAAGACTGTTCTGCCAGATGTCCGTCACCACCGGGAGAGGCCTGGCAAAGCATGCACAGGACCCCTCGGTGCTGTTTCTCACAGCCGCGTGTGAATCTGCCGACATCAGAATTTCTTTAAAAATCGAACAATGTGCGTGAAGGATCGCTACGTGCAACCACGTGATGTGAAGTTTGCAACCGTAAGGCTGATTGAAAGAAGCCGGACGCGGAGAGGAGACGGCACATGATTCCGTGGACGAGAGCAGGCCGTCCGAGCGCCAGCAGAGTCCGAGGGGCACCCCCTGCAGACTGGAAGCAGCACGGCAGGAGAGGGCCCGCGGCGGCGACGGGAATGCGTGCTCTGTTTTGACTGCGTGGTGGTCATGTGTACGGATTAGATGTAGAGGTCTGTGGACAGACTTTACATAAATTATGCTGCAACGAAAATAATGAGCAAATGAATGGAAGTGGAC